CCCTCGACCTTTTTTGAGTAGGTATGATGGAAATAAAAATGCTCAATGAAACAAACTACATGAAACAATATTTATTGAAAATTATAACATATAACTACATGATGAATCATGGGAACTTGCAAAGGCAAACATAACACAGAAGCGTCAGATGATTGCAACAAAAGCAAATGTGAAAAGCAAAAACATGCAGTAGCAATATTAGAAATAGATTAAAATAGCAATTGCATTTGAATAAAAATAATGCTAATATTTTTTATTCACATGAAACAGAAAACTTCACAGAGTCAGAATTTCAGTTTTTAATAATGAAAATTGTTGGCCGAAACTCACAAAGTACTCAACATACAATTTAATGAAAGCCTGTTTAGTGTATAGGCCAAAATTTTTTCCCACTTTAGGGTCTGCGTCGAAGCCTTTTTTAAATAGTTTTCATATGGAATAAAAATATGATTGAAATAATAGGACGCATTTGAATGAAACAAATATTTCTATTATGTATCGCTGTGGAATCGAATTCTCAAACTTTTCTTACCAAAACTCGTAAAAAGAAGGTACTCATGTAGTATACGAACCAAGATGGCGGACACCGGAACGTAGTATTTGTACTAGGTCATGGTAAGGCCATAATTTCAGGTACGAACACTACGGGAGTCACTTGACTAGTCCTCGAACTCTCAATAGAACTAAAATAAGGAAAATTGGAATAAAATTATGGCTTAACCTTAACCTGTTACACATACTACGGGAGTCCAAAAAAGAGTAATCATGGCTAAGCCTTTTCAGCAGTTGATGAAAGAAGATTTTCAGACGACAAATTTTTTTTGCAGTCATTTTAACTTGAAGTTTGAGTCGAGGACGGATGCCAAGACCTCAAAGATGATCCCTCCAAGCAAAAAAGAATTTTTAACATCCGTAATATTTCATAAAACATCCTGGATCACTATTAAAAAGCTTAATATATCGGTCTACATTTAGCGGATACCAAAAATTGTCCGATATCGATGTGTTGATACATCTCTAAGTGAATAGCTAAGACTCCACGGCTGCAAATTCAAAATATTCATTATTCCATCTATACATTCAATGTCCAATATGACAAGACAAATAAAACAATCAGAACTTCCCCATATCGCAACCAAATTTCTAGTTGTAATTTCCAAACCGTTAATATGCAACACCAAAGGTGGTTGTAGGAGCATCCATACCAGTGGGAAATGGTCCTGCTTCTGGCATTGTTGGAAGGGTGGAACTCCTGTTAGTGGTTGAGGAATTTTTTTCTGTGAGAAACAACCAACGCTGGTTGTGCAACAAGCATTCCTGGGTAAATCTTCAACTGCATTGGCAGGTACCATCATATACTTGACCATTTGAAAGTCAGACGATTTTTTGGCAAGAATATGCCTGCTGTGAAGTATAACTTTAACGCTTCAAGTTCACACAAAATCTTTTGTGTATTGTCCTTGGCTTCTCATGGGTTGAGCAAGTACGTAACTGGTGAGTGAGTTGAAATTCATTGTAGATTGTTCAGGCGCGCCATATTAAATCAATCAACTAACGGACAAACAAAATGCAGTGGACCTGAAGGACGGGCATAACCTAATAAAATAGTTAAAAACGCACAAGTACGTCCACACAAAAAACACAATAATATAAAGATGCGATATAAAATTGGGCAATACCTTTTAAATAACAGTGCCTCATTTATAATGACTTAATATTGGTTTGGCATATATTTTCAGTCGTACATACCATCCCTGGCGTTTTGATGTTTTGAAAAATGTGATTTTGACTGCACCTTACTCGGCATAGGTATCAAGATTTTTCAAACATGATAAAAACGTAAAATTAATGGTAATTTCCACGCGTAACGACACGCATTGGATTGTTTACGACTTTCTGCGCGCATTTCGATCTAAAAAAGTAAATTGTTTTGCATTTGGGAGGGGGTGGCTGTGCAATAATAATTAGAGGTGTGATGTCATCAAAATGGTTAATTGAAGGGTTGAACTTAAAAATTCTGTAAATACAATCGTGAATTTCAGAGTAACCATTTTTGCTATAATGAGGGTGTTTGTAATGTTTTGTTGAAAAAAAACGTAGGAAAACGTTGGAATAAAAATTAATTAATTAGGAATAATTAATAAATCAATTTAGGATGCGAGACACTGATCAAAGGAAGATCATGGTGATACTTTATACATACCAAAATTAAAAAAATTCCCAATAAATAAAACTTCGTCCTAGCTTTGTCACAGCTTCTACTTCATGGCGGCATTCTTGAATTTGTAGAAAGTTTCCGTTTCAGCTTGTAATTCAACTATAAAACTGTAGGTCAATCTATACTTTAGATTCCTATTTGATTTTATTGTTAATTCCAAATTCACAATAATGTATATGAATATCTAACTACTGCATTCTGTGGCAGCGGTGAATGTACCATGCACGTTTCAGCCATTTGAAGTAGCCACGTTTGCATCCGACTCCGCATACTTTGGTGGGCCTTATTACACCAATGTGACGTCGAAATGACGTAATTTTTCGGTGACGTAGTCAGGTGGGGGTTGGGATTGGCATATGCAAAAATTGTTGAGCCAGGCCAACTAAATGTGCATGTGGTACTAAGATATACCAGACCCTAAAACTGTAGGTTAATCTATACTTTAGCTTCATATTTGATTCCATTGTTAATCCCAAATTCACAATACTGTATATGAATATCAACCATTGCATTCTGTGGCAGCGGTGAATGTATCATACATGTTACAGCCGTTTCAAGTAGTCACATTCGCACCCGACGACGGTCGGAACCAAAATTCAAAGCTTACATTCCCAAAATCAGGGGGGTGGGCCATTGTTTTAAACAAGCTTGAGTGTGGGTCACTGTAAGTCAGTCCTGTCTTTGTGAATAGATTACTGGTAACCTAGCTACAGTTTAATCTATACATCTGAGAAATTAATAATCGAATATTTATTATATAGTAAACACACAATTGCACAAATTTAAGTGTTCAGAATTTAAGGTGATTAAAATTGCAAAATCAGACAAAAACTATAAATGCTTGGAATATGGATGCAAAAAACAGATTATAAATTTCAGCCTTTTCAAAGCAATCAAAATTTTTGAACAATGATTTAGTAGGGAATTAGAAATTTAAAATATTGAATATACACATATACAGTTTCAAACAACAAAATACAGCTGGATTAGAAAAAACCAAGAAGAAAGGAAAATCCTTCAATCTGTAAATCTAACCCTAATGTTAATGAAAATACAATATATATCATTAATCAAAAATGTGTCAGTAGAGCCAGAATTTTGAATGTTGCGCATGCTCACGTGTTGCATTTGTATAGGTCAAAGATTTTGTTATTAATATTGTGTTTTGTCAGAGCTGGAGTAGGAGCCAAAGTATTGTAACCGCAGTTGAAATTTGCATTATCTCCGAACCATAGTTTCAAATTGTTTTTTAAGTTTAGAGTCGAACGTAAAATCTCTGCGATTTTACAAAAACAGAATTACATTTAGAAACGTATATTCCATAATTTAAATGTTTCTAATTGTAATTCTGCATATATATATATATATAGGGTGTCCAAAAAATTTCGCCTGATTTCATAGCAATACCAATCGCAAATTTGAATTATTTTTGTTGTGTGGTAAATGGGGACTACAACATCAACATCTATATTCTATAACATCCAATTAGATACAGGCTGAATATTAATCGTTTTTATATTTAGAAAAAATTCGATTATACAGGGAGTACTCGACTTACAACGTTGTTCCGTTCTCGAGACGCGGTGTAACCCGAATTTCAGTGTAAGTCGGAACATTATACTGTACAGTACACAAATTACTCTATACATATCGTACTGTATTGTCCACGTCATTTACGATGTGAATGACAAAAACCAATAAGCCCAAAGCACTGATTTTCTTGATCACAATGATCCAGTTTAAGGTCTTAGATATTACAGTACAGTATTATCTTTTATATTTTTATGGAGTGCGTTCGTAACCTCGAAACAGCAATATGATGAGACTTTATGATCGGGCGAAACTTTTTGGACACCCTGTATATATATGCGCAACAATCAGAACAAAATATAAAATAGTCAAGTATTCAAAACCTCTGGTATAGAATGAAATGACTAACAATAAATATATATAAAATTTTTAATCCAATTTGCAGCAGTCAGCAGTTCAGGTACTCCTGAAGTATGCGCACCAAGATGGTGAACAACCTGAACTTAGGTTGTGTACCAGGTTAGGGTTCAGGTTAAGCCACATCTTGGTGCGCATACTTCAGGAGTACCCAATAAATAGATAAACAAGGCAGCTATGCTCAAATATATGCACAATTTGAGCTCATTCAATCTGTGTTTCCTTATAGCTGATTTACGAGGGTAGTCTCGTGAGAAGTTTTCATGATTTTTTTCATGCTGCCGTTCAACATTGCTGACTTTATTCTGACCTAGTAGCTTATGGCAGACTAAGCACAAAGGTTTATTTTTCTGACTGGTAAATGCGTATTCTTCTTCCCATTCTGACTTGACAACTTTGTTTCCATTTCGTACTTTCGTTTCTTATTTGATGAAATATCGCACAGTAACTTAGACTAACTAACCGCAATCAAGCTGCAATACCGCCGACGCATCAATAAACAATGACCATTATGACGAAATATTTGCTGACTTGACTGACTTAAATTCAAAATTTAGCGCTACGACGATTTTCATACTGAAACATAGTTTGTCTTAATCATTGACAAAAACTTTTATTGAATTAAAAAAGTTTACATTAAAGTTTTTCTCTTAGTTAAAATTTTGATAATAATTCATGTTAGCGAGAAGAACCGCACAAAAAGTCTCACGGTGTGCCCACCCCTGGCATTGTCAACATCTATCTGGGAAGTTTCATTGACGTCGAATCGCCACCAATTACCGAATAGAAGAGGTAATAGAGTTAGCATTTTCAACTTGAACCTATGGTTACACATCTATTGAGCATAGCTACAGCAATAAACCCAATTCACCTCAGGCCCATCCATTTCACAGACTATTTCCCATTCACCAGATAATTCATTGAATGTTTCAATAGAATCCTTAGTCAGACCTCTACCTTTAGCACCACCGACTGCATACATTTTATTATCAACAACACATGCACTGAAACATTCTCTCTTCATCTTTATTATTGCAATTTCTGTCCACGAGCGAACAACAGGATTATAACATTGAACAAAGTTGGAAGGAAGCAGACCAGAAACACCTTCGACACCAAGCACGTAAACCTTGCTTTGAAAAACGACTGCTGCACCATTCTGTGTCCCATAAATCATCTGAGGCAGGAAAGACCATTCCTTTGTTTCAGGATCGTTTACTTTTGCTTCTCTAAGTGTTGAATGACCTCCCATTGCATATATGAACCCACCAGAGGCAGCAGCACAAAATCCATAATCAAGGAGACATGGGGGCAAATTCCTATTCCATTTGTCTTTGGCAATGTCATAACGCACTGTATGCTGATCAAAGCCGATAATATAAATCCCACCCTTGAGATAAACTGTATTATCGTTTACTTTCTTTCTTTTAACCTTGGTCTTCCTAATCCATTGTCCATCCTGCAGCAAAGATAATTCATTCCCATCTGAAGCATACAATCGTCCCTCAGCATTGACAAGATGAATGCCAACATCATCATCTGACTGCAAACTAGACCATTGATTTGTTTGGAGATTCAGAGTCTTTATACCTGTTCTTGTCGAGACAGCAATATGTGGGACAAGTATTTCCATCTGAGCTCTGGGATAATTATGGTGGCCCATCGTTGTCACGCGTAAAATTGAAAATAAAAATAGAAAATAAAATAAAAAACCGATAATAAAAAAATTTTTGTGAAAAAACATAAAAATAATTAAAAAAAAAATGAAAAAAAAAATTAAAATTAAAAAAAATAAATAAATGAAAAAAAAAAAAAAAAAAAAAAAAAATTAAAAAAAAAAAATTAAAAAAAAAAAATTGAATAAAAAGAAAATAAAAAGGTTGACAACGATGGTCCGCCTCGTGGCCCATCGTTGTCACGCGTTTTTATTTTTAGAAAATTTGCTTCTGCTTGGGACCAACGTTGTCAGGCATAATCCTACGCGCACAAATGTGTTCCCTGGGTTTCAAACTCACTACTGATTTTCTTGAGCAATATTCAATATGGAAATGTTCTATAAATTCTCCATGCTACAAGTTCAACAAGAAGTAATATATTTATAATAATGATAAGAGAATATAGAATTGAATACGAAAATTCGGAAAATTTGTTTTTACGTGTAAAGGGTAATTTGGAGAATGCTGCTTAACTACTCAGTTGTCTGGACACTCGCGATGCCGGTACCGTACCGTCTTACCAAATACCGGTAGTCGGTTATAGTCGCTTTGCGTCTGACCGTACCGGTAGCCATACAATCACTCATCATCTCCCATTCTTTCACGAGTGATTGCATGGGTACCGGTACGGTCAGACGATACCGTACCGGCATCGCACGAGTGTCTGAGCAGTTAAGCAGCATTTTCCAATTAAATTACCTTCTACACGTAAAAACAAATTTTCGTATCCAATTCTATATTCTCTTATCCTTATTATAAATATATTGCTTGTGGTTGAACTTGTAGCATGGAGAATTTGTAGAACATTTTCATGTTGAATTTATTGGATATTGGTCATGAAAATCAGTAGTGAGTTAGAAACCCAGGAAACACATTTGTGCGTGTAGGATTAAGTCTGACAACGTTGGTCCCAAGCAGCATCAAATTTTCTAAAAATAAAAACGCGTGACAACGATGGGCCACGAGGCGGACCATCGTTGTCAACCTTTTCATTTTCTTTTTATCCAATTTTTTTTTTCAAATTTTTTTTTTTTTTTAATTTTTTTTTTAATTTTAATTTTTTTTTTAATTTTTTTGTTTGTTTTATTTTTCAATTTTTTTTTTAATTTCAATTTTTTTTTATTTCTTTTTTTTCAATTATTTTTATGTTTTTTCACAACTATTTTTTTATTTTCGCTTTTTCATTTTATTTTTTCATTTTTTTTTTAAATTTTACACGTGACAACGATGGGCCACCATAGATAATGAATATCAAGCAATAAATCTTTACATTTATGCGACTCTTTAACTAAAGGTTCATTTCTGACTGTTTGTTGAATAAAATCATCAGAAAAATCCTGAAGTTTCATCAACTCAAATAAGTCTGGAAAAAATTTCTTATGGCGACGACTTCGTTTGGCCCATTTTCAGTGCAGCTTCCCATTTAATTTTCTCTGAAGAATATTTTGTTTCCGGAGATTTGAACAAGAAGAAAATTTCATCTTGCTCCAACTCAATAAATTCATCCATTGGTACAATTTGTTCAAAACTCTGAGCCATAAGACATTATCTGAGTCAACTTTGTTTTCAAGACGATTAGAGACAAATTTTCTCTCAACCCATCGATATTCAAAAGCAATTTTTTGATGACAAAACTTTTTGCTTCTGGAGAGGTTTTTACCAAAGAATCATTTGGCAGATCAGTGAACAGAAAGTTATAAGGAAACTCTCCAAAATGCAAAGTCCCCATCAGTTCTGATCCAATCTTTTCACCTTTGTTTAGAATCCATCTTCTCACAGCATGCCAAACTACTTCATGTTTTTTATTCAACTTTTGCAGATAAAATACAAGATTTTCTTTACTGAAATGTAGAAAATCTTCACCCAAAATCAAAGACTCAAAATTATCCACAATAAATCGCTCAGCAATGATTTGTAGCTCTGTACGATCATAAAGTCTTGCCATCCTGACCACTAGGAGGCAATGCTGCACTGACAGATTATTTTCCATAAAATTGAAGCATATACCTGATAATACATCAAGCTGCATTAAGTGGGAAGCATACAAAGTATTTTCAACAGATTCCATGGATGGATTTGCTTCACCAGTATACATGAAATCTACACACTGCCCTACAGCATCAGCACAGATGTCTTTCATAATGACAAAACCATCGCGAGCCTCAACCATGTTACTTGAAAACATGCCTTTGAAGTACTTTGATACTGCGGCAAGCAGATCTCGATGGACTTTGAAAGATTTGTCACCAACTTTGATTGTGGAGTTACAAATGCAGTCAGATTGTTTTAGTTCATTGAATGATGTAAGTACATTCAATGAGTGGGTGATTTTTGCAGATTTTTTAAAATTAGCCATCCTGAAAGAGATTCACAAATGGCAAAGCTTCGATGATGAGTGTAGATGACAGTAAGATGTGTAACCAGCTTCTGTAATATTTGTATTAAGTAAATTAATGAGTTTGACAGAATTTCAATTTTGCAATACAATACAGAGAAGAAGAGATTGAAAAAACATTCAAGGTTACAAAACAGTTAGACTTTTTAATAAAGATGGCCTGTTGCGGTAATTGTCAAACCTTCATGCTTCATAAGATTGCACTTTTCTATTTTCGGGATGAATATCAAAAACCTATCCTGTACACCAGGGCTGGCCAACTTGCTTTCGACCTTAATTGACTAAAATTGTCAAAATAGCTCCCGATCGACAATACGATAATACACAAAACGAACGAGTATTGAATATTCAGATAACTGCACATTCGCACAAAAAAAGTCCACAGCTGCCCATGAGCTCGGTTCTCTGGGCAAGTTTTTAATGAAATGACCACACTAATTTGTGAATTTTCTGTCCGATTTACTTTATTAATTTCAATCTTTCTAGTTGATGTGTCGAAAATTTCTTAAAAATCCTTGCCCAGTATTCATGTATTATCTAAACAGCAAAAACAATATTTCATAACCACAAATGTTACAAGACTGCTCAAACTTTAGAATCTGATTTAAATCTACTCCGATTCTTCACTTGTTTAGAATTAGAAAAATATGGGCATTCTGATGCTATTGCTCCCGATGCAAATAAAATTTATCACTCTACTCTTGGAATGAGACAATAACTTCGAGTTGATTGATGTGTTGGCCACCCCTGCTGTACATTGCAACCTAATTTCTCAACCTAGTCATTTTTATAGACAAAGCTGACTTTTCAACAACTGGCAAACTTGGCTTTTCTCAGGCATACCAATGTTCAGTAGTAGAATAGACTCATTTCAGAGCAAAGCGACCGATGGAACTGGTGACCCAATCGCCAATATCTACAGAAATTATTTAATTTTTTTTAAATGAATTACGCGCACTCATCAGTAGGAGACTTATTCGTGTGCAACGTTACGACCAACCACTGAAATGCCGAGATCGACTGATTTTATTCTGAATTATGGTGGCGAGTTACGCGCCCTTACTCAGAGGTAAAAAAAAGAATCATAGTTGAATGAAGTTCCAAGAGCTGAAGATAATATTCAGAACTAAAACGGAATAGTACTAAGCACTCACTCAGATGTGAAAGAGTTCCATCTCACATCAAACTTACTACTGAAATGTTAAAAGCTACCAAAACTATAATTATTATAGTGTAGCGAATTCACTCAGTAGTAAATAAGACTCATTTCTGAGCGAAAGAGCAAACACTGAAATGAAAACGGGTTACAGAAATTATATAGAATTATTGTAGTACATTAAGCGCACTCACTCAGTAGTAAATGGGACTCATCTCAGAATCTCTAGGCGCAGTTACTGGATGGCAATCACCCAAATGTCAATAGCTATTGGGGACATTTAAAATATTGGTGGTGCATTATACGCACTTACACAATAGTGAAGGAAACTCACCTATAAATCACGTCACATGCGACTAATGAAATGCTAAGAGCTACTGGAACTATTTGGAAGTCTGGTGGTGCATTATGTGCAATCAATCAGGAGTAAAGAACGCTCATCTCTGAGAAAAGTAATGTTTGCCACCGGACCATTTATACAGTTCAATTTTCCATTCTCCCGCACTTGCAACATATTAATGTCAAATCATGGCCCCGACTCATATTTTCTAACGCCTAGCTAGAATGCTCACCTCTCGCTTCATATGTAGTTTGCTTACCACTGTTCATTGTGATGTCACATACCAAGTGCCTTGAATTCTTGGGAATTGTTTGGAAAGGGCTAGTTTCACCCGAGCCTACAATGCCAGCGCATTTCATTATTATCATATTTCACTGAATTATTTAAGACAGGGGTGTGCAACCTGCGGGCACTGCAATGTCACAATCACGAAATGAAGTTTGCCAGAGTATAGTTGTTTATCATATCAATATCGACCAACAAATTAATATCCATAACACTGATCTTAATTTTCTAAATTTAAACTATTCATAAAGGCCCAGGTACAAAAACACAAGCCTGCCTATCTAGAATATTAAACTAAATAATATATTGTATAATTCAGAATGACGAACTTCCGACCTGGACTATGAGCCGGACTAAAAGAGATTATAAGATCGGCCTTTCCCTCCCCATTGCTAAATATATAAAAACATTATCCTTCGTCTGTCAATACGGCGACTATTCATATCGCCAAAACGTCTGAACATAAAGAACCTCAAATTTCGAAATCGATTTATTTACTTTGTCAGTCTGGGACAAAGGTGAACATAATGGAAAAGTACTGGCGACGGGGTGTGTATGGGGCTGTGGTCCGAATAAACAACACCTTTGTAATTTAGAGGGAATTTATACTGGATTGCGGGGCAGTGAACGATACATAATGTTGCGTAATTTAAATTAATTTACAATTACAGACTTCAATGGCGACTCGTAACACAGAGTGATTTGTTTTTTATATTACACTGAATTTACAAAATTTCACCCAAACTTTTTTAATAAGGTTCAATTTGTCGTATAAGCAATTTTTGTAACAGATCAGCTAAAAGTTTAATTTCGCTAGAATTGGGCTAAAATAGTCAAACAGGGGAAATATATGTCCGTGATTGTTACTTAATTGTTCGTATTTCCACTTCTCCTGCGTGCATAACACAAGCGTATATTTTTAACTATGCTCACAAGCTTAAAGCTCTATTAGTGAAATTATATAATATCGTTTTTTTCATTCATATTTGTATATTATCGCAATGATCACAAACTTAAAACCCGATTCTTGAGTATCTCATCGTGATTTTGTATATATTAAGTATCACAATGTGAGATTTCTCATGTTGTACTATTATGTCTAGCGTTTTTAAACCTTATTGAAGTTTTGCTCAATTTTCATGCATTTCAGTACTATGTGTCGTTGTTTATCATGGCGGACTTGAAAATAAATTATCATCTATACTATATATTAAAACCATTTGATATACAGAACGTCGCCTAAATTCTTTAAATCGTTAGATATCAGTGACTGCCTGTACAAGGCCTTGTTCGGTGTGAAAAGCGCGATCAAGCGTCGTATAGTAAAAAGTTTAATCTGGTCTGATTCTTTCTAATAGCGATTTTATCCTGACAAATGAACTATAGCAGTTTCCCCCGTGCCATTCAATAATTATCTATAGAATGCAGTGTTGAGGAGTTTCCTGGAAACATACCTTCACCCTGACAAAGTTACTCGAGTTATCTCGTCAACAACCAGTTGGTTTAGTGGTTGAACGACTGGAGACTAGAACGCACCGGGACTCAGGGTTTAAGTGCTTTTACTGAACACAGGTGGAACGTTTGCGCGTGATTAATACACATGATATGTGAAACACGTAATTTGGCGCTCAAGAAGTTTGTGCACCAAGATGTCGCATAACCCGAAGCCCTAACCTGGTACTAGGGTTGCCAACCGTCCTTTATTTCAAAGGACAATCCTTTAATTAAGCTTTCATGTACTTGTCCTTTCCTAGTATTTAGAAAAGATACTAGTTGTCCTTTATTCTTTCCAACGTCGTTTTGCCCATAGTTATAGTACTGTTTTTGATATTGTTCCGTTCTCAGAAAATCGCCTCCGTTTGAGTATTTGCCCGCTTTTAACTATTTTTTTCAATTTCGCCATGGTCCAGCTCAGATAGTCAAAGATATCATACATATAAAACAGGGCTGTCAACTGTCGAGTCCTATTTTCAAACTTCTCAGAGTCAGAATTTCAGATTCTAACGGTGAAAATCAAAATTTACAACCGAACTAAAAAAAACATCTCAGCATTTCCAACACAAAATTCAAAGAACCTTTCGCAAGGAATTTTTTCAACTTTTTGGCGTCTAAGAGCAAGATGTCAGGACTATTTGTACATAGCTAGTACATGTTAATTTGCCCAGACTCAACGATGGATGATGGATTTGAGCCTGAGGTTTTACCCGCTGATACAATGCGAAATGGTTAAGTAGAGTGTTTCAGCTACTCGGTCACTAACCCAACAGATTTACTATTTATTTTAACTCTTCCTTCCCCAGATTTTCATATATAAGCTTATCACTTTTCTTCTCTCCGATATCATATATTGAAGATCAACTGTGTAAATATTAAGTCTTCAGGCGTATCATATCGAATCGTCGCATATAGTACCGAGCCATCAGTTTTAAACAAACTTGAGTGTGGGTCACTAAATAATCAAATCTATTTCAATACTGCTGTCTTTGTGAACAGATTACTGTTAACATAGCTACGGTTTAATCTATAGATCGAAAAAATAATAAATATATTCACATTCGATAACAAATTCACACGATTAAATCAGTTATTCTGTCACCAAAATAAATAAACAGCTATGTATTAACAACTGTAGTGCAAATGTCAGAAATTCAATCTTGAAGGGTTCTTGAGAATCCCAAAAATGATAATATAAAAATTAATTACAAAGTATTAAGTGCAGAGATCAAAATGAAATATGTAAGAAAACCAGAATATTCAGGAATCGCACAACTTGCTATCACAGTGGAAAATAGAATATGTGAAAATAGCTACAAAAACAGTTCGATGAAACTTGAGCTTCTTACGAATGGTAATTACGGTATATAGTTATGAAGATGCACAACTTGCCCCAACAGTGTACAGAAGAAACTAAAAACAAATAAAAACTAAGAAAACAGCAATAAATCAAATATATATATACCAAAGCTAAATATACAAAAACTCGGATTAGCAATTAAAGAAAATAACTTACAAAAACATTCAAAAAAATTCCAACTTGTCACAATTACTTATTTTTCAGTGTGAAAAAAATTATTCATTGTTCTTTCTTACAAAATACAGACTTGGATGAACTATGATATTACAAATGGAGTATGCAAATGCATATGGAGGGAGATAAAATGAAACTGAACTGTATAATAA